AATGGGGAGCAATGAGGCTCAATGGGGGCAATGGGGGGGATGGGGGCAATGGGGGGCAATAGGGGTGTGATGGGGGGCAATGGGGAGCAATGAGGCTCAATGGGGGCGATGGGGGGGGTCTTTCTGTGCTATTATGGGATGGAGCCCCCCCTCCCCTGCAGCAAATGGTGACGGCGCTGGACAAGACCTGGCACCCGGAGCACTTCTGCTGCACCCATTGTGGGGCGGTGCTGGGGGAGCAGGGTCAGAGCCCCCATGCACCCCATAGACCCCATATCCCGTACCCCATAGACCCCATACATCCCATATACCCCATAGACCCCATACATCCCATATACCCCATAGACCCCATACATCCCATATACCCCATAGACCCCATACATCCCATATACCCCATAGACCCCATACATCCCATATACCCCATAGACCCCATACATCCCATATACCCCATAGACCCCATACATCCCATATACCCCATAGACCCCATACATCCCATATACCCCATACATCCTATAGAGCCCATACCTGCCCTATACCCCACATACGCCGTGTACCCCACACATCCCCTATACTCCCTACCCCCATCCCCTCTATACCCCACATACCCCATATACCTCATATACCCCACACACCCCACATACCCCCATATCCCCCACATCCCCCACACGCCCCACACCCCCCATACCCCCACACCCCCCATACCCCCACACCCCCCATAACTCCATACCCCCCACACCCCCCACACCCCCAATAACCCCATTACCTCCCTTCCCCCCCCATACCCCCCACACCCCCCATACCTCCCCCATACCCCCCATTACCCCACACACCCCCCACACACCCCCCATACTCCCTATACCCCCCACACCCCCATACACCCCCCATACCCCCCACACCCCCCATACCCCCATTACCCCACACACCCCCCCCACACCCCCCATACCCCTACACCCCCCATACCCCCCACACTCCCCACATCCCTCACAGCCCCATATCCCCCACACCCCCATACCCCCCATTACCCCCCACACCCCCATATCCCCCACACCCCCCACACCCCCACATCCCCCCTTACCCCCACCCCCCCCACCCCCCCACTAACCCCCCCCACCGAAGCCCCGTTCCCGTTGCAGGGTTCCTGGCCCGGGACCTCCTCCCCTACTGCCCCCAGGACTTTGGGCTCCTCTTCGGGAGCCGCTGCCGGGGCTGCGCCCGCCCCATCCTGGCCGGGTTCATCGCGGCCCTGCAGGGGCTCTGGCACCCCCAGTGCTTCGTGTGCGCGGTGAGGACCCAGGGAGCCCCAGGGAGCCCCAGAGAGCCCCAGAGAGCCCCATAGAACCCCATAGAGCCCCATAGAGCCCCATAGAGCCCCAGAGAGCCCCAGAGAGCCCCATAGAGCCCCATAGAACTCCATAGAGCCCATAGAGCCCCAGAGAGCCCCAGAGAGCCCCAGAGTGCCCATAGAGCCCCATAGAGCTCCATAGAGCTCCATAGAGCCCCATAGAGCCCCATAGAGCCCCATAGAGCCCCATAGAGCTCCATAGAGCCCCATAGAGCCCATAGAACCCCATAGAAACCCATAGAGCCCATTGAACCCCATAGAGCCCCAGAGAGCCCAGAGAGCCCCAGAGAGCCCATATATCTCATATATCCCATATCCCATTTATCCCATGTCTCCCATGTACCCCATAGCCCATATCCCACATCCATCTAACCCATATCCTATATCCCATACCCCATATATCCCATATCCCATACCCCCTATATTCTATACCCCATATACCCCATATCCCCTATATGCTATACCACATATATCCCATATCCCATACCCCCTATATTCTATACACCATATACCCCATATACCCCATATATCCCATATATCCCATCCATCCCATATATCCCATATCCCAAATCCCATATCCCATATACCCCATATATCCCATATACCCCATATAGCCCATATACCCCATATACCCCATATATCCCATATATTCCATATAACCCATGTACCCCATACCCCATATATCCCATATATTCCATATGCCCCATATACCCCATATCCCATCTATCCCATATACCCCATATATCCCATATCCCATATCCCACATCCCATATCCCATATATCCCATACCCCATATCTCACATCCCATATCCCATACCCCATATACCTCATATATCCCATACCCCCTATATCCCATACCCCATGTACCCCATACCCCATGTACCCCATATCCATACCCTTAATCCCGTTATCCCACCCTCAGGAATGCTCCTCTCCCATCACCGGAGGCACCTTCTTCGAGGCCAACGGGCGCCCCGTGTGCCAGCGCCATTCCCAGCCCCATTCCCAGCGCCATTCCCAGCCCCATTCCCAGCCCCAGAGCTGCTCCTTCTGCCTCCAGCCCCTGGATGGGGCGGCCCCACAGCAGCGCGACGGGAAGCTCTACTGCCCGCTCTGCGCCCAGCACCTGCTCCAGTGAGGGGCCCCATGGCCTGCCCTGCCCCATAGGTGCCCAATGGCCTGCCCCATGCATGGCCAATGGACCCATAGGTGCCCAATGGCCTGCCCCATACATGGCCAATGGACCCATAGGTGCCCAATGGCCTGCCCCATACATGCCCAATGGACCCATAGGTGCCCAATGGCCTGCCCCATACATGGCCAATGGACCCATAGATGGCCAACGGACCCATAGATGGCCAGTGGACCCATAGATGGCCAACGGACCCATAGATGGCCAACGGACCCATAGATGGCCAGTGGACCCATAGATGGCCAGTGGACCCATAGATGGCCAACGGACCCATAGATGGCCAGTGGACCCATAGATGGCCAGTGGACCCATAGATGGCCAACGGACCCATAGATGGCCAGTGGACCCATAGATGGCCAATGGACCCATAGATGGCCAACAGACCCATAGATGGCCAGTGGACCCATAGATGGCCAACGGACCCATAGATGCCCAATGGACCCATAGATAGCCAATGGACCCATAGATGGCCAACGGACCCATAGATGGCCAACGGACCCATAGATGGCCAATGGACCCATAGATGGCCAATGGACCCATAGATGGCCAGTGGACCCATACATGGCCAATGGACCCATAGATGGCCAATGGACCCATTACAACCACCGTAAGGTCCCGTTTTGGGTCCAATTCTCCCCATTTTGGGTCAAGTCCTCCTATTTTGGGTCAAATTTTCCCCATTTTGGGTCTAAATCTATTCGTTTTGGGTCATTTCCTCCCATTTTGGGTCTAAATCTATTCATTTTGGGTCATTTCCTCCCATTTTGGGTCTAAATCTATTCATTTTGGGTCATTTCCCCCCATTTTGGGTCTAAATCTATTCATTTTGGGTTTAAATCTATTCATTTTGGGTCATTTCCCCCCATTTTGGGCCATTTCCTCCCCATCCCTTGATGCCCCCCCCCCCATCTCCCCCTTTCATCAATGGGGGGACCCCAAGAGTCCAAAAGGGTCAATTTATTCCCATCAAGCAACGGGGACCCCAACCTTGGGGGGGCTCCAATGGAACAAAGGGGGGGCCCATGGGACCCAATGGGGGGCCTTTGGGTTTGAAGGGATCCCCCCCTTCCTCCCGGGCTTGGTATGTTCCAATGAGGGAGGGTGGGAGGTCCCATTGAGCCAATGGGGAGCGTGGGAGCGTCCAATGAGCCAATGGGGAGCGTGGGAGCGTCCATTGAGCCAATGGGGGGGGTGATGGGGTGTTCCATTGAAGGCAATGGGGGTGATGGGATGTTCCATTGAAGGCAATGGGGGTGATGGGAGATTCCATTGAGCCAATGGGGGGGGTGATGGGGTGTTCCATTGAAGGCAATGGGGGTGATGGGATGTTCCATTAAAGGCAATGGGGGTGATGGGATGTTCCAGTGAAGGCAATGGGGGTGATGGGATGTTCCATTGAAGCAAATGGGGGTGATGGGATGTTCCATTGAAGGCAATGGGGTTTAATGGGATGTTCCATTGGGGCCAATGGGGTTTAATGGGAGGTTCCATTGAATCCAATGGGGTTTAATGGGATGTTCCATTGAAGCCAATGGGGTTTAATGGGAGGTTCCATTGGGGCCAATGGGGTTTAATGGGATGTTCCAATGAAGCCAATGGGGTTTAAGGGGAGGTTCCATTGCAGGCAATGGGGTTTATTGGGGGGTTCCATTGCAGGCAATGGGGTTTATTGGGGGGTTCCATTGCAGGCAATGGGGGGTCCCGGTGCGTGCCCCCCCTCACTCGCCCTCCTTGTCCTCCCCATGGGTGATGATGTAGCAGATGTTCTTGTAGTCCACGTTGCCGGCCACGTCGGGGGGGAAGGCGGCCCACATGTTCCTGATCTGAGCCCCATAGGCCATTAGAGACACCCCATAGGGGCCCTTATAGGCCGTTATAGACCCCCCCCATAGGCCATTATAGACCCTCCTATAGAATCCCCTATACGCCTCCCATACACCATAAGAGACTCCCCATAGACCCCCTATAGACCATTACAGACCCCCGCCATACACCCCCCCATAGAGCATTGTAGACCCCCTATAGACAGTTACAGACCCCCCTATAGACCTCCTATAGACCACCCCCATAGACCCCCCCATAGACCATTATAAACGCCCCATAGACCCCCCTATAAAGCATTATAGACCCCCCCATAGACCCCCTTATAGACCATTATAGACCCCCTATAGGGCCCCCTACAGACCATTATAGACCCCCCGATATGGGCCTCACCTCCTCAGGGGTGAACCGGTCACACTGGGTGGTCAGGAGCTCCTCCAGGCTGGGGGGGGGCAAAGGGGCGGGGCTTAGAGATGGCCACGCCCCCTGAACCCCCATATCCCATAATACCCCATATACCCCATACCCCATATCCCACACCCCATATCCCATACCCCATATACCCCATATCCCATATACCCCATATCCCATACCCCATATCCCACACCCCATATACCCCATATACCCCATATATCCCATATACCCCATACCCCATATACCCCATATCCCATACCCCATATACCCCATATCCCATACCCCATATACCCCATATCCCATACCCCATATACCCCATATACCCCATATCCCATACCCCATATACCTCATATCCCACACCCCATATACCCCATATCCCATACCCCATATACCCCATATCCCATACCCCATACATCCCATATCTCATACCGCATACCCCATATACCCCATATCCCATATATCCCATACCCCATATATCCCCATATATCCCATACATCACGTATACCCCATACCCCATACACCCCATACCCCATATACCCCATACCCCATATACCCCATATATCCCATACCCCATATACCCCATATATCCCATATACCCCATATCCCATACCCCATATACCCCATACATCCCATACCCCATATCCCATACCCCATATACCCCATACCCCATATACCCCATACCCCATATCCCATACCCCATACACCCCACATCCCCCCCATATCTCACAAGCTCTTCTTGATGGTTCCCTTCCCATCGGGATCCAGCACCTTGAACGCCCCCATGATGACGTCCTCGGGGTCCGCACCTGATTGGACGGCGCCAGTGGGTCAATGGGTCCCTATGGTCGCTATGGGTCTCTATGGTTCCCTATGGGTCTGTATGGTCTCAATGGGTCCCTATGGTGTCTATGGGTCTCTATGGTTCCCTATGGGTCTGTATGGTCTCAGTGGGTCCCTATGGTGTCTATGGGTCTCTATGGTTCCCTATGGGTCTGTATGGTCTCAGTGGGTCCCTATGGTGTCTGTGGGTCTCTATGGTTCCCTATGGGTCTGTATGGTCTCAGTGGGTCCCTATGGTGTCTATGGGTCTCTATGGTTCCCTATGGGTCTGTAATGGGTCCCTATGTGTCTATGGTCTCTATGGTTCCCTATGGGTCTGTATGGTGGGTCCCTATGTGTCTATGGGTCTCTATGGTTCCCTATGGGTCTGTATGGTCTCAGTGGGTCCCTATGGTGTCTATGGGTCTCTATGGTTCCCTATGGGTCTGTATGGTCTCAGTGGGTCCCTATGGTGTCTATGGGTCTCTATGGTTCCCTATGGGTCTGTATGGTCTCAGTGGGTCCCTATGGTGTCTGTGGGTCTCTATGGTTCCCTATGGGTCTGTATGGTCTCAGTGGGTCCCTATGGTGTCTATGGGTCGCTATGGGGCTCACCCTTGAGCTTCTCCCCGAACATGGTCAGGAACACGGTGAAGTTGATGGGGCCCGAAGCCTCCTTGATCATCGCGTCCAGCTCCTCGTTCTTCACGTTCATACGGCCTGGAGGGGGCGGGGCCTCAGCAGGACACGCCCCTCTGCCCCATAGACCACGCCCCCAGCCCCATAGACCACATCCCTGCCCCATAGACAAAGCCCATACCTCATAGACCATGTCCCCTGCCCCATAGACCACGTCCCCTGCCCCATAGACCACATCCCTGCTCCATAGACAAAGCCCATACCCCATAGACCATGTCCCCTGTCCCATAGACCACGCCCCTCTGCCCCATAGACCACGCCCCCAGCCCCATAGACCACATCCCGGACCCATAGACAAAGCCCATACCCCATAGACCATGTCCCCTGCCCCATAGACCACATCCCCTGCCCCATAGACCACATCCCCTGCCACATAGACAAAGCCCATACCCCATAGACCACGTCCCCTGCCCCATAGACCACATCCCTGCCCCATAGACAAAGCCCATACCCCATAGACCAGGTCCCCTGCCCCATAGACCACATCCCCTGCCCCATAGACCACATCCCTGCCCCATAGACAAAGCCCATACCCCATAGACCATGTCACCTGCCCCATAGACCACATCCCCTGCCCCATAGACCACGTCCCCTGCCCCATAGACAAAGCCCATACCCCATAGACCATGTCACCTGTCCCATAGACCACATCCCCTGCCCCATAGACCACGTCCCCTGCCCCACAGACCACATCCCTGCCCCACAGACAAAGCCCATGCCCCATAGACCATGTCACCTGTCCCATAGACCATGTCCCCTGCCCCATAGACAAAGCCCATACCCCATAGACCACATCCCTGCCCCATAGATAAAGCCCATACCCCATAGACCACGTCCCCTGCCCCATAGACCACGCCCCCAGCCCCATAGACCACATCCCTGCCCCATAGACAAAGCCCATACCCCATAGACCATGTCACCTGCCCCATAGACCACATCCCCTGCCCCATAGACCACGTCCCCTGCCCCATAGACCACCCCCTTCCCTATACCCATCATTCAGATGAAGCCACGCCCCCTTACCTCTAAGCCCCGCCCATCTCCAAGCCCCTCCCCTTTCCCATAGGCGTCCATTGAAGCCTCTCCCCTTCCCATTAAGCCCCTTCCCTTCCCCATTGCAGCCCCTCCCCTTCAAGCCCCTCCCCTTCCGTTAGGCCCCGCCCCCTGTAGCCCCGCCCCTACCCATGGCGGCAAAGGTCTCCCTCAGGTCGTCCTTGTCAATGATCCCATCCCTGTTCTGGTCAATGACCGTGAAGGCCTGGGAAAAGGGGGCGGAGCCAAGGGGAGCGCGGGGACCAATCAGACCGCGGGGGGGGGGGCGTGGCCACAAGGGGCCCCCATCGAGGTGAATGGGAAGGGGAAGGAGAGGGCGGGGGTGAATGAGAGGCAGGGTTATCCATAGGGATGAATGGGGAGGGGGGCGGAGCTTAAGGGGAAGGGGGCGGGGCTTAAGGGGGAAGGGGGCGTGGCCAATGGGGGTCCCCACCTCCTTGAACTCCTGGATCTGGGTCTGGTCGAACATGGAGAAGACGTTGGAGCTGCCCTCGGCCGCGCGGCGCTTCGCCTTCTTGGGGGCCTGTGGGGCGCTGGGGGTCCTTATGGGGCTCTATAGGGCTCTGTGGGGGTCTATGGGGTGTCCATGGGGCTCTATAGGGCTCTGTGGGGGTCTATGGGGTGTCCATGGGGCTCTATGGGGCTCTGTGGGGGTCTATGGGGTGTCCATGGGGGTCTATGGGGGTGCTATAGGGGTCTATGGGGGTCTGTGGGGTGTCCATGGGGCTCTGTGGGGGGTCTATGGGGTGTCCATGGGGGTCTATGGGGGGACTATAGGGGTCTATGGGGTGTCCATGGGGGTCTATGGGGCTCTATGGGGGTCTCTATGGGGCTCTATGGGGCTCTATGGGGGTCTGGGGGTGTCTATGGGGGTCTATGGGGTGTCCATGGGGCTCTATGGGGGTCTAGGGGGTGTCTATGGGGGTCTATGGGGTGTCCATGAGGCTCTATGGGGCTCTGTGGGGGTCTATGGGGTGTCCATGGGGGTCTATGGGTCTTAATAGGGGGGGTTTATAGGGGGTCTATGGGGCTCTGTGGCATGTTTATGGGGCTCTATGTTGTGTCCATGGGGGTCTATGGGGGGTCTATGGGGTAATAAAGGGGAGCTATGGGTGTCTATGGGGGCTCTGTGTCTGTTGGGGGGTTGGGAGGGTCCAAGGGGGCTTCATAGGGGCCCTATGGGGCTCTACTTGGCGCTATGGGTCTCTATTGGGTATCTATAGGGGTCTATGGGGTATCTATAGGGGTCTATGGGGGTTCTAGAGGGCTCTATAGGGCTCTATGGGGTATCTATAGGGCTCTATAGGGGTCTATGGGGTATCTATAGGGCTCTATAGGGGTCTATGGGGTGTCTATAGGGCTCTATAGGGGTCTATGGGGTGTCTATGGGGTTTCTATAGGGCTCTATAGGGCTCTATGGGTGTGTATCTCTATGGGGCTCTATAGGGCTCTATGGGGTGTCTATGGGGTTTCTATAGGGCTCTATGGGGGTCAGGCTCTCACCATTGTCTCCTCGCAGCCGGGGGGGGGTCGCTGTGGGCTCCGTCCAATCGCGGGGGGTTTTATTGCCCCCCTTGGGGGGGAGGGGTCCGGCCCCGCCCCTTTCCTCGCCCCTCCCCCCGCCTTGAGGCTCCTCGTGCCCTTTCTCGGGAATAACCGGGAATAGAAACGGGAGGGGGAGGGGGAGGGGGAGGGGGGGACCCCGCACCTGCTGCCCCTCCCCCACCCTGCAGCTGCTGCGGGGGGAGGGGAAGGAGGGGGAGGGGAGGGGGGGGCGATCCCATTGATCCCAGTACGGATCCCATTGATCCCAATGGCTCCCAGTACGGATCCCATTGATCCCAGTGTTCCCAGTATGGATCCCATTGATCCCAGTACGGATCCCATTGATCCCAGTGTTCCCAGTATGGATCCCATTGATCCCAGTACGGATCCCATTGATCCCAATGGCTCCCAGTGCAGATCCCATTGATCCCAGTGCTCCCAGTATGGATCCCATTGATCCCATTGGTCCCAGTACGGATCCCATTGACCACAGTACGGATCCCAGTGCTCCCAGTATGGATCCCATTGATCCCAGTATGGATCTCATTGATCCCCATGCTCCTAGTACGGATCCCATTGCTCCCAGTACAGATCCCATTGATCCCAGTGCTCCCAGTATGGATCCCATTGACCCCAGTGCTCCCAGTACAGATCCCATTGATCCCAGTATGGATCCCATTGACCCCAGTGCTCCCAGTACAGACCCCATTGATCCCAATGGCTCTCAGTATGGATCCCATTGATCCCAGTATGGATCCTATTGATCCCAGTACGGATCCCATTGATCCCAATGGATCCCATTGATCCCAGTGCTCCCAATGGCTTCCAGTACGGATCCCATTGATCCCAGTACAGATCCCATTGATCCCAATGGATCCCATTGATCCCATTGTGTCTCTTGGCGCCACTCCCAGCACCCCCCCCCCAGCCAATCAGCGCCAAGGGGCGGGGCCAAGCTCAGCCAATGGCGTGCGAGCAACCCGGGGGGGGGGCACAAGAAGGAGACGATGACGCGATGACGTCACAACGCCCCCTCGGGGGGGGGGGGGCATCCCTGGATGTGACGTCACGACGTGGCGGGGGGGGAACGACACGAGCTGACGTCACCGGCGACGTCACGACGAAACCCCGCGTTCCCCTTCCCAAGGCGCTTCCGGATTGGCTCCTTCCCAGGGCCGGAAGGGGAGGGGCAATGAGGAAAGGGGGGGGTGCGGTCACGTGAGCGAGATCACGTGACGCCGCGGCGGCAGCGACTCGCGGGCGGGTAACCGGGGGGGGGTGGGAAAGGGGAGATCACGTGATCGGGGGGCTATGGGGCGCTATAGGGCTCTATGGGGCTATATAGGGTTCTATGGGGGGGTCTGTGGGGGGTCTGTGGGGCTCTATGGGGGTCTATGGGTTGTCTATGGGGAGTCTATGGGGTTCTATAGGGGTCTATGGGGCTCTGTAGGGGTCTATGGGGGGTCTGGAGAGTCTGTGGGGCACTATAGGGGGGCTATGGGGGTCTATGTTTTGTCTATGGGGCTCTATAGGGGTCTGTGGAGTCTATGGGGCTCTATGGGAGGGCTATGGGGGTCTAAGGGGTGTTTATGGGGCTCTATAGGGGTCTATGGGGATCTGTGGGGGGCTATGGGGTGTCTATAGGGGTCTACGGGGGCGTTTATGGGGGTCTGTGGGGCTCTGTGGGGGGTCTATGGGGGCCTATGGGGGGTCTATGGCGGTCCATGGGGTGTCTGTGGGTGTCTGTGGGGTCTATAGGGGTCTGTGGGGGTCTGTAGTGTTCTATAGGGGTCTGTGTATGTCTCTGGCGCCGCTCTCTATGGGGCAGCCCCATAACCCCCCCGCATTGTTTCCCCCCTCCCCAGGCCTGCCCCATGGCGTCGGGGCCGGAGCTGCTTCGCGCCGACGACACCGGCGATGGGGGGAGCCCGTCGTGCCCCACCGCACCCCATAGCGACGGCCCCTGCCCCATAGCGCCCCATAGCGACGGCTCCTGCCCCATAGCGCCCCATAGCGATGGCCCCTGCCCCACAGCGCCCCCCGGCGCCCGCCTGAGCATCGCCATCCTCTGCTACATCAACCTGCTCAACTACATGGACCGCTTCACTGTGGCCGGTACCTTAGGGGGGGGGCTCTATGGGGCGCTATGGGGTGACATAGGGTGGCTGTGGGTCGCTCTGGGTCCCTATGGGTGCTATGGGTCCCTATGGATGTTATAGGTGTTATGGGTCCTTACGAGTTCCTATGGGTGCTATGGGTCCCTATGGGTGCTATGGGTCCCTATGGGTGCTATGGGTCCCTATGCATCCCTATGGGTGCTATGGGGCAGCCCCACATTCTCCCCCCGCCCCAGGCGTCCTCCCCGACGTTGAGGATTTCTTCAGCATCGGCGACAGCAGCTCCGGGCTCCTGCAGACAGGTGCGACCCCCCCTGCCCCACACGTGTGGGGCTGCCCCATAGCCATGCGGCTGTCCCATACATAAGGTTCTGAGTCACAGCTATGGGGCTGCCCTATGCCTAGGGGACTGAGTCACAGCTATGAGGGTGCCCCATACATAGGGGGCTGAGCCACAGCTATGGGGCTGCCCCATACATAGGGGGCTGAGCCACAGCTATGGGGCTGCCCTATACATAAGGGGCTGAGCCGCTGCAATGGGACTGCCCCACACATAGGGATCTGCCCCCCACATAGCGGCCTGCCCCCCACTTATGGGTCTGCCCCCCACATAGGGGCCTGCCCCACACTTATGGGGCTGCCCCACAGTGTTCATTGGCAGTTACATGGTGCTGGCGCCCCTCTGTGGCTATTGGGGGGATCGCAAGAGCCGGAAGCGGCTCCTGAGCCTCGGCCTTGCCCTATGGGCGGCTGCGACCATGGCCGGGAGCTTCGTGCCCCCCCAGGTGAGGGGCTATGGGGCGCTATGGGGCGCTATGGGGCTTTATGGGGGGGTTATGGGGGTCTATGGGGCTCTATGGGGGGGTTATGGGGGTCTATGGGGCTCTATGGGGGTCTTTTGGGGGGGCTATGGGGGGACTATGGGGCGCTATGAGGGAGCTGTGGGGGTCTATGGGTGGCTATGGGGGTCTGTGGGGGGCTGAGGGTGTCTATGGGGGGGTATGGGGGATGGTCAGGGTGGGTAATGGGGTGCTTGTGGGGCAACCCCTTTATTCCCCCTACTCCATAGAGCCCACATAGACCCCATTGATCCCCATTGAGCCCCATTGATCCCCATTGAGCCCCATTCACACCCACTGAACCCAGTGATCACATAGGCCCCATAGCCCCCCATAGACCCCCCCCATAACCCCCCCATAGCCCACCCTAGCCCCCCATAGACCCCCATAGGCCACTATGGACCCCCATAGACCCCCCATAGATCCCCATAGCCCCCACATAGAACCCCATCGCCCCCCCATGGCCCCCATTGACCCCCATATCCCCACATAGCCCCCCCATAGCCCCCCCATAGACACCCCCATAGCCCCCCAGCCCCATAGCCCCCCCATATCCCCCCATAGCCCCCCCATAGACCCCCATTACCCCCTATTACCCCATAGATCCCCATATCCCCCCATAGCCCCCCATAGAGCCCCATAGCCCCCCCCATAGACACCCCCATAGCCCCCCATAGCCCCCCCATAGACACCCCCATAGCCCCCCATACCTCCTAGACCCCCATAGCCCCCCATAGCCCCCCATAGCCCCATAGCCCCCCATAGCCCCATAGCCCCCCATAGCCCCATAGCCCCCCATAGCCCCCATAACCCCCCATAGCCCCCCATAGCCCCCCATAGCCCCCCCATATCCCCCCATAGCACCCCATAGCCCCCCCAGCCCCATAGCCCCCCATAGCCCCCCATAGCCCCCCCAGCCCCATAGCCCCCTTGGCGCAGGGGTTCTGGGCGCTGTTGCTGGCGCGGGCGCTGGTGGGTGCTGGTGAAGCCGCCTTCTCCACGGTGGCCCCGACCCTCGTGGCCGACCTGAGCCCCCCCGGGCCCCCCCGCAGCCGTGCCCTGGGGGGGTTCTACCTGGCTGTGCCCCTGGGCAGGTAATGGGGGGCTATGGGGGGGCTATGGGGGGGTGTGGGGGGGTCTATGGAGGGTTATGAGGGGTCTATGGGGGAATATGGGGGAGCTATGGGGGTCTGTGGGGGGGTTATGGGGGCTGTGAGGGGTCTGGGGTGGGATATGTGGGTCTATGGGGGGTTATGGGGGGCTATGAGGGGTCTGTGGGGGGACATGGGGGGATAATGGGGGTCTATGGGAGGGTCTATGGAGGGTTATGAGGGGTCTATGTGGGGATATGGGGGAGCTATGGGGGTCTGTCGGGGGATATGGGGGTCTATGGGGGGGTTATGGGGGCTATGAGGGGTCTGGGGTGGGATATGTGGGTCTATGGGGGGGTTATGGGGGGCTATGAGGGGTCTATGGGGGTCTGTGGGGGGATATGGGGGGATAATGTGGGTCTATGGGGGCGTCTATGGAGGGTTATGAGGGGTCTATGTGGGGATATGGGGGAGCTATGGGGGTCTGTGGGGGGATATGGGGGTCTATGGGGGGGTTATGGGGTCTCTGGGGGGTCTGGGGGGGATATGGGGGGATAATGGGGGTCTATGGGGGGGTCTGTGGGGGGCTATGGGGGGTCTATGTGGGGATATGGGGGAGCTATGGGGGTCTGTGGGGGGATATGTGGGTCTATGGGGGGGTTATGGGGGGTCTGTGGGGGGATATGGGGGGATAATGGGGGAGCTATGGGGGTCTGTGGGGGGGCTATGGGGGGCCTAGGGGATGCTATGGGGGGTCTATGGGGTGTCTATTTGGGGCTATGGGGAGTCTATGGGGGTCTAGACGGGGGGTATGGTGGGCTATGGGGGTCTGTGGGTGTCTATGGGGCATCTTTTGGGGGCTATGGGGGGTCTATGGGGGTTGTATGGCAGGCCTAGGGGGAGTCCAGGTGGGTCTAGGGGGTTCTAAAGGGGGCTATGGGGGGCTGTGGGGTGCATGACCCCACATCCC